CCATTCATGCAAAATTAGCGATTTACGTGCATTCTGGTACAAAGAGTTGATCGGTTCGATCCCGCTGTCGAAACAATGATCTCTAACTTTAACGTTTTAAAGTGAAATTGATTAGCCTCTGGCTAAGTTCGATAAGCTCTATGGCTTAATAATTTTATGAATTGATAGAGAATTGGTAAGTGATAACATTTACATGAGCCCCTGACGTTTGCGAATAATTGAAAATATCAATGCCATAGCCAAAACTAAAGTTAGGCACGAATTTTTGTTTTTTCTGACATGTGTGCCTATAAATCAATAAAGATAATTGTTATATCGCTGGCAGTGCCAGTGGACAATATGAAGCAAATTCTGTATTCTGATTGGCTATTTGAGGGGGACAAGATGAGCCCATCTTGCCCGCTTGGGATTGCCCGCTTTGATCCCGTGCAAGAAAAAGGAGGGGGCCCATTAGAAAGCGCAAATCCGTAGAACAATCATCCAAAACTGAAAAACCAAAAAAAATTTGACCAAAACCGAAAACCGCGTCCAAAACTGTCAAAATCGATACATTTTCACATCCCAGTTATTAAAACCCTGATCGATCCGATACAGTGGTGACAAGTGGAGCATAAAGAGTAAATTACACTTATTTCATGACAGGATTTATGAATACCATGGACTTGGCATTCGCATCTTCTAGTATCTGCTTAAATTAACAGCTGCGCTCTCGAGGACCTCGAGCGTGGTCGCTGCGGACTCAGCAGCTGGTAATGGGGCCCAATCAAATTAAAGAAATTCCCACAAACGTCCTCGACAGGATTGCAACTTTGCAGTCGCAAAAAGCTATAGCTCTGGAAATTTTCATCCAAAATCCCTAATCTAATATTTCCATTTGCGAACTAAGACCTGAAAGTTTGGAGATTCTATTGGAATGTTGAATCAATCAGGCACGTGTGTAACATGCACCAACTGTAAAAGAAACTCTGGCAATAATCGGTGCTTAGCCGTACCCTACGTGTAGCCGTACCCTCCCCTCCCCTTCCCCCCCCCCTCCACCTTAGGGGAGGGAGAGGGTAGGGCTTCACGTAGTGTTCGATAACATTTGCGACGACGATAACATTTGCGTTTAGCGGCTATTCAAGATCAGTGGAAGCGCGTAATTGCCGCTCAGATGGAAGAGAAACCGGAACCCAAATAGATCTAATTGGAAAAACCAAAAACCGCATCGCATATCAAATCCGAAAACCCGTTGGAGTTTTTTGCGAAAACCGAAAACCAAATGCTAAAAAACGGAAAATTCGCAAACCGTAATGAACACCAAAACCAAAAACCGAAAAACCGAAGTTTCTTGACACAAAAACCGAAAAACCGATCTAAAATAAATCTTACTTTAAACAAAATTGTTTGGCCTAGATGGTTAGATTTAAGTCTCGTTCTTTTATTCATTCAAATGCAAAAAAAGAACTCGCCCAAAATCCAGCCATTTATAACACTTTGAAACTTCACTAGAACTTAAAACGACGTTTGGCTTTGCGTTACTAACGCGTTTTGACTTTGCGTTAAGACTTTTGTAAGAGACCATCAAATGAAAGAGTCGTATAAAATAACCGACGCAAATTTAAAGCCATCACCTTAGTTAATGTGGATGTTTTCTCGATTTTGAAGGTTTGCAAAAAGCTAATGTTACTCAATATGTTCCCAGGAAATACTAAATGTGCTCAGAACAAGTTGAAAGTGAAATAATCAATATTAGGCTATACAAGCAATAACCCGTATGCCCTCTAAGATCACAAAAAGTGTTCAATCAGTTTCTCATTATGCATATTACCAATGGTTTGTACATTTATTGGAATACTCATTCTTGTTTTGTCTCACTCATATTTTGCCCAACATATCTTTAGCAATGGAAAAATTCGTTCGACCAAGAGAGCATGGTCCTATTTCAGTTACTCGCATTATGTAGCTATGCTTGGTGACAACAGAATTAAAAATAAAAAACAACAAATCAGCGTTTCAAATTTCTCAGGCTAAATCTAATAATCTCCCCAGAGAGAGCGGTTTAGTAAGAAGATAATCCTTGCCTTTACAACTATAATTGTTTACAACAATTATAGTTGGATAGAAATAAGCGTAGTGAAAGTTCCAAATATCGGGATTGTGTGTTTTTCTGGAGAGCTGATGGTCCTTTTTCTTCTATTGTGAATACAACATCATTTAAAGCTAGATTATCTTCCTCGCCATCAGATCTGATTATCTTGGAGTCAAATTTGCATATTGTGATGACGTCTATATTACAAAATTCTTGTGAAAAAAGAAATCGGACTCGAATCATTCATTTCAGTAATTTTTTAACTGGTAAATAGAGTGGAAAGCCTGAGAAAGGCCAGTTTTTTTTTCTTAAGCGGGCAATTTGGTTCCTTTCTCTTATGATTAAGCTAAATGAAGTTTTCCTTAAGAATGCTTTGATCCGACGACGTTGACACAAAAAGAGAGGTATCGCTAAAAGATGATGACAATATCTTTTGTTCCAGTCAACAATGGTTTTCAGCAACCCTACTGCAGTAAAGTTCAAGGGCCACCAAATAATAAAAAAGAAATAAATTAAGATTGACCTAGATTATAAATCTGTATTTATGATGGTGACAATTTTTTTCAAAACCCACCAAAAGTCTATGAAAGATTGATGTGAGACAATGTTCTTGTAGGCTATTCATTCATTTCTGTAATAATTTTCTCAGTTTGAAGCTTTTAAGCAGGCGGAGTAACTTGATACTCCGGCTTTCCGAATTATATAAGACGAGAAGTCCAAAGAATATCATAAACTTACTTAAACCAGTTACCTTGGAAGTTCGGCTCATCATTATATAAAGATTATTCCATGGAAAGTGCGCTGCGCTCACTCGTTTGTTTTTTCGATGCATCACAACGAGTGTATAATCGTTCCTGCGCACTTTGCAAGGTAACTATGGTTCAAGTATGGTAAGTGTTATTTCATACTGCTGATCGATTTATTTGAAAAATTGGAAGCCATTTATGAGCTACTTTTTTTCAGGACCGTGCAAGAGGTGGCACATCGACCAAAAAGTGACCATCCTTATGTGTCAGACAGTGATACCTTATAGTGAACTTAGAAACGCGGTTAAGTTTTTTCGCCTAGAGTTGCTTCTTTAATGTAGAAAATTCACGTAAACTGAAACGAGCATCGGTAGCGGTAAAATGGCGGAAGTCAGTGCCCCGAGTAGAGGCAAATGATGATTAACACCTTTTCAAACAACTTTTCCTTCCTGTGATATTTCTCGTGAGAAAATGCGTTGATATTTTCCAGCAATATTTTAAATTATACGACGTCAATCTTCAAACAAGCCTGACGCAAAAAATTGCCGTGATAATTATCATTTAGCTCAAGATGTCCTTTCAAATTTCTCTCAAAGTTGCTTTCAGGACTCCAATCATTTCTTGAGTACAGAGCGCAATCTAATCCGACACCCGATTTTAATTATTCATGGAGCAACATGCTACGCTAACGGTCAATCAATTAAAGATAACTAAAGAAACAAAAGAAAACTTCGGTGAAACAGGCCGACTTATAAAACCGATATAATTAATGATAAGTGGAGGAGATAGAAATAAATTACAACACGAAACGTTATTGGTTGTTAGCCTACGCCACAAGCGGTTCTAAAGTGGATGATGCGAGAGCCGTAAATACGAGAGACGCCACTTCAAGAAGACAAAACGCACGCTGGATTCGGTAGTTTATGAGTAACACCTTTTCAAACAATTTTTCCTTACTGTGATATTTCCTCAAACTTATCTGTTGAATACTCCCAGATAACCTCTGGCTGTGTATCATGATGCTACTCGACCATGACTAAAGGACTGCTACAACAACTGAATCCTTGTCATAAGCGGAATGGCTTAGTATCATATAAAGACAAAATTTCTACCAGGAAAGCATTTCTAAGTATGTCATTTTAAAGACGTATTTGTTGCTCACTTGTGGGGTTGGAAATCGAAGACGAATATATTTTTTCTTTGAAAAAGATGTTTCTTCGTCTTGTCACGAGCGTGGAACGAGTGAGGAATCGAACCTCAGACTTTCGGGTTCTCCGCTGCTCTTCCACAGAGACTCTATAGTAAGTAGTAAGCAAGGCCCACTACGAAGTTCATATATGACACGCGTCCCGCACACTGCATCCATCGTAAGGGGCCTTGCTCACCATGGAGCTCCTGTGGCTCAGTAGTGTAACATCAAAGCGCGGAATCCGCAGGTCTGATGTGTGATTCCTCAAAGAGACTCAGAATTCCTTTGTCCCGCGCTCGTGACAAGACGAAAACCAATTTTTCTCCATTTCTTTACTGAGCTCAAAACTTGCCATCTTTCTTATTCTATATTTTCTTTGTTGTTAAAATAAAAATGCTTTCCTTCTTCCTTGATGTTATGAGATGGACTATTCCTCGTGAGAATATGCGTCCATATTTTCCACAGAATTTTAAATTATACGAAGTAAATCTTCAAATAAGCCTGACGCAAAATATTGCCGTGATTATTATCATCTAACTCAGAATGTCCTTTTAAATTTCTCCCAAGGTTGCTTTGAGGACTTGAGTAATTTCTTAAGTACAGAGCACAATCTATTCTGACACCCAATTTTAATAATTCATGGAGCAACATGCTAGGCTAACAACCCCCCTTAGTTTTGTGCTCTAATAGGTCTTGTGTCAGATTACAAAATATCTTAGAAAGGTTCATCCATGATTACAGTTTTAACAAGAAATGTTCTTTTTAAAACGAAAGAAACTTTATGAATCTCGACTGTCTGATTTCCTTCGATGAACTTTCAATAAGGTCGAACTCGAAAACCGTGAATAGGAGAATAATGTTGTGTTTAAAGTAATTCAGGTGCCTCGCTTGTTCTTGTGATTGGTTTGTGCACAATTGACCAATCAGAATCAGATCAAAGTGGTCACGCTTTTCTTCGTTTCACAGAAAAGCCTTTTAACCAATGCTGGTTGAACCTGCTACTACTTGTAATAGCTAATTTTTCAACAGTCAAGAACGAATTTTCCTTCACTCTGGTAATTCTGTGCCTCAGCTTCATTTCTCAACAATTTGGACTTGAGAAATAGCCGCTGATTCTAAAACCTGGTAAGAGACCACTACTTTTATTGACTCGAATTTATACAACACTTTTTAGTATGATCTGGACGAATTTAAGTTAAATACGGGTTGTAATGTTAAATTTTTTTATAAAATGTATTTTGCATTCTTTTAAAAAGAGATTCTATTTACCATCACGCATTTTAATTAAGGTATAAGGACCTAAATTACACAGTAGTGCCCATTTTTGCTTCAATAAATCTACTCTATAATCAAAATGTAATTTTAATAAATAGGATAAGTTCCTAAACAAATTGGGGCGCTGTGTCGGTGGAAGGTATTACAAATAAATTTGTTTTTATAACCTGAGTTGATGACGTGAATTGGACACCGTAGAGACATTTTAAAGGTAACGCTTTGAGAACAAAGGTTTTTCGTCAGCTTTATAATCTCTTTACGGTGGCGAATTCACACAATCAACAAAATTGATGAAACCAAATTATCACTTTCATAATAAATTCTTAGGCGATCTTAGATAATTCTTGTAAATTTAAGGTCCTTGGATAATCACATCTGAAGCCGAAGGTGTCAAATAAACATATCCTCTAATTCTTTGCACGTCGGTATGGTATTTTAGACTTCAGTAAATTACAGGACGGAACACGGCGCAATCATTGAAGAATTTCGGAAATTTAAGATTGTCGCTATCAAACTTTATTTTGGGAAGGAAATTGCTATAAAAGCATCATCAGACGCTTATAACCCCGAAGCGATTATGTTTGACTAAGAACTGGGATTTGTTAATGCGTGAGCGAGCCAAACAGAATTTACTTCTTAACATAGGATTGTGTATCTTTAACGTTTTCTGAAAGCGTAATAAGTGAAACTTTACTACGGTACTAATAAGGAATACATTATGAAATTGCAGTTTTCAGACCGCAAACTCGACCATAGTATAGAAAGCCCGCCAAACTTTTATTTATAAATGGATGCGAACCGTAAAGTTAACATTTCAAGCGTTTTACACGATCTACCTCACGGGAAAATTCAGTTTCAACTGCTCGCGTCGCAGAGAAAAAAGAATTCAATTTCGTGAGACGCCCTAAATATTTAAAAGCCTAAAAACCTACGCAATTTTCTGGTCGTAAATTCTAATGAGCAACAATTCAAGCAGTGTAAATCTACCACACGGGACTCATAAATGCAAAAAAATTGTAATTTTTTCGAACAGTTGATACTATTTTTAAGTGGTATTTCCCACAAGTATTTTTCAACAGAATTTTTAATTTTTAAACCGTACAATTTCAGAATTTAAGAAATTTTCAACACAAATGCACGCAATTTTCTGACCGTGAGTTCTAGTAAACAAGGATTCAAGCGCACTGAATCTACTGGGCATAGGTTTCTGAAAGCACACGATTACCTGGTAAGCGCGACTTGTTTCTGCATGCCAGGTTTTTCACCTTCTTGCCGTCTTGAAAGCACAAGGATTGAAATGTTGAAATATCCTTTCACCTCGATAAAAACTCAGAAGCTTATTTTCACTGTAGTTAAGTTTACATGTGGAAGTCCCTTCCATTAGGGATTTAACACCGTCAAAAGAATCCTGTTGATTTATTCGCATCCGCCGCGCTATCACCGGCCGCTACACTTAAATGCGGAGTTGAACTCAAAACTTTGTTCAGAAAATGTTATCCCAAACTCCCTCAAGGGAAATCAATTACCATAACTTATCCGGTGCATCCCGTTGTAAAGATTATAGTTGAATCTTTCATTTTTTTAAGCTTTTCAATGCCTCTTTGTAATCAGTTGTGAGTTTTTATGATGATGAACCCCAGCTTGTGTTTGGCAATATAGGGGAGTTTAGACGCTTCTAGGTCATAAGCTTGTGGCACTATGGATAACCACACAGTAGCAGATCAGACCAGTAGCGAGGATCATTCATCCTCAGTTTAACCAAGGCATATTGACGTTGTTATCAACAGCAGCACCAGGGATCTGAACTTTACCTAAAGAATGAAACTCTCCAAATGAATTCTCCAAATCTCTAAAGCATATTTCGATTCAAGTTATAGAGCTAAAAGATTGCCTTCCTCGTTTCGAAAGCAAAAATATTTAATATTTCGTGTAAGAATCAGAATACGGACCGAGAGTGCCATTATTTTTGTGCCATAAATTTTCTTAGCTTGGTGGATTGTTTAAGCCAAGGCGTCAACTCGGTCCGTTTCGCTATCGTCACGACATGCTACTTCAATGCTGGCAAAATTATGTTTCTACTACCTTGCAAATCCTGTTAGGTGATTTGTTTGTTGGATAATGTATGGATATCACAAAGGAAAGTAACATGCAAATCACCTCTGGGAGTTAATGGGTCAAGGCTACAAGATTATCATGCACTGTACCCAGCAGTTGGGCATGCACACAAATCATGGTTTGGGTGAATATGTATCCAAATTATAGGAACATATGGATCATGTAACCAAATAAAGGGAGGTGGGTGAGCATGTACTCACATTGTGGCTAATGTGGTTGATCATGTAATCACACTATGAGGACACGATGATCAAGCATCCCAATGAAAGTAAGCAGATGATTCCAAACCCATATTAAAAGTACCAAGTGAGTACGTACCTAAATTATGGGCACTGGGTAACCTTCAACCCAAATCAAAGGTACAGAGTGACTATGTAGTAAATCCTACAAATTCTTCTTCAAAATTATTGTCAATTACAGCACTATTAGTATGATAACTTACATGTAAAGACATAAAATTAGTTCCTTTAATTTCTATTTCCTTCACTGAACCTTAAATTAGCATTTGGTGAATGTTTGTGATTCAAGTTCAAGTGATTAATGTTGCTTCTTCCCACTATGCATGCTTTTGTATCTAACTGTCAAGAAAATCCCTTTTAAATTGTATATTAAGGTTTTTATACTTCACATTTTCAGTAGTTTTTCCACACAGCCCCTGACACTTCAATATGCATACAGTGTTGAATAAAGAAATGATGACAAAAAAGTAGATTACCTGGGATACCAGAGTTTTATTTTGCTTGGTATTTTCCCCTGCAGTGATCAATTAAATATTAGCAGTTTATGCACTTGCTTAATGTGAGAGTACTGTCTGGTAGATTTTCTGGGAACATTATTCTACAAGACAGTAAAGATACATCTCAGTTTGGTGTTTTAAGTATTCGGAGGTTCCCTTTTACTCTATTTTGTTTGGTTTTTGTTTTGTTTTTTCTTATAAATTGTGAGTTCATTTCTCTTTATTTGTGATTAAAGATGATGAGATCTTTTTTGTGTCGATAAGAATGAATTTCTTTTCTTTAAACATGACCTTTGAATGAAGAGCTGAATTAATTGTGATTGGGGTACCATTTTGCTTTGGTTAAGTTTTGATCAGGGTTTTGAATGTACGTGGAATTCATATGGATTGGCAAACATCATAAAACAGACCAAAAGTGGTTCTAGAGAAGAAATCAATTCCTTTTTCATTGCATAAGACTGGTTAAGACTAGCAAAAAAATGTATATATAAATTAATGAATTTGTTTTTTTTTTAGTGTGTGTGTGTTAAACATGATCATCTCGAATTTTGCATTAACTCGAAAGAACTTGGGATATAATCGGTGATGGGTAGAAAGTCCACATGTTTTTAAGTGAATTTAGCAAGGAAGTATAGAGGACCGTCTATTCAGATTGTACTATTGCCATGTTTCGACGTGTTTCTTTCAATAAAACCACAAAATTATCATGTAACAGTGACATTAAAAGGGAGTGTATGGATTATTAAAAAAAACCCTATTGAATGAAAAGAAAATCTGACAATAAAGGACAGAAGGTTAATTTTCAATTTTACAATACAACTTTAGTCCTTTTTTAACTGAGCTGCAGAAGCTTTCCATATCAGTTTATCCACGGTGTAACTGCAAAGAGAAGCCATTCTGCATTTATAATTCAAATTAAATAACTGCCCTTCAAGTTCTCTATAGGAAATTAATTTGTGTCTAAGTACCAAGTAAAGTGAGAATTCCTTCGCTAGAAAATATCAGCGTTATTACGACATTTAAAATGTATGCACTTAATAAATACCTCTTAGAAGGATGTGCAAGGATAAGGAGAATGACTAAGCTCTAAAACTTTTTTCATGAACTTGTGGCTTGCATATATTTTATTACATAGAATTTTAAAACGTTGGTAAATTTACAGAAGTTTCAGTTAGCACGCATTTAGTGTAACCATGTAATTAAAATAGATGTACTTTTAAAAGTTCATTACTCATGGCTCACAAAAACACGAGTAGGGCTCGAGGGAAAATTTAGATAACTCCCAGGCTGTAAGAGAGCTATTCTGCAGAATGTAGCTCTTTCATTCATAAAATACTGGCTTTTTCTGACCTTCCCATAACAACAACCCAGATAAATTTTGCTTGTGCAATTACATACAACACAACCAAATATAAAGAGCAACTCACCCGATTCGGACAGTTCTCCTGCTTCATTCCAAATTGAAACTTTCTCTCGCTGAATTAAAATCCCATTATGCTTCCTACGTCAAAACAGGGGCCATTTTCAGTTTGTACAAGAAGCTTTTTGACTTCTGGGGCTGATATTTCTTCCAAGATAGCAACAACGATATCAGGGACAACTTTGTTTACCTTATTCAAATCCGCCGCCATTTCGTTGACCGAGAAACTCCTGGGTCGAGTCGGGCTTACCACGTTGTGTAAGCCTTTTAATATAGCGCGGTAACTGAGATTATTCCGAGAAGTCAGCAAGGCGAATCTATTTTTAAATGGTTAGATAGGGAAACCCTGCTTAAATTGTACGAAAAGAAGTCTGATTATCAGTTAACAGTGTCAGAAATATATTAGAAACTCGCGAGTGCAAAAATTTTATGTAAGAGCACATAAACTTCTCATTGATAAATGTTTAGCCAAAATTTTTTTTATGTCCGAATATTGCTCAAAATATCAAATGATCACTTGAAAAGTCTTCGTCATTTTAATTGGCAGGCATCGGCCAGGTAAATGAGTACTGGCTGATGGCTCAAACCTCCTTGCAATATTTTATTGGCGGCTTAACTGTCCTATTTGGCCTGTCCAATTACAAGGGTTTTAATACCTAATGGATTTGAAGATTATTATATTATGTCCTACGATGAACGTGACCTGTTCTAGCCAATCGGGCGTGAACACAAATACCTGATGGGTTTGAAGAGTATCCTGCTCTGTAATACAGTGTACGAGACCAACTCTAGCTGATCGGGCGTAAAGAGAAATACATAATGGGTTTGAAGGGTACTAATCAATATACTCTGAGTAATTCACTTTATTTATGTTTATTAACTTAGAAATAGCCAGAAAGACCGGACAAAATGAAGACAACATCCTTTTGGTGTTTTGTTTTTTCTATCCTTGTACAGTTTAAGACTATATTTTCGAAAAGTACCTCTGGTAAGTGCCAAGTAATGAAACACAATAAAATACGCTGTGGTCACCATACTGATCCTCAGCTTTATATTCTTGGGATCAAATCATGATCAAACTAATGCCCCCGCTTTCAGACCAAAGTTCAAACAGGTTTTAAAGCTGTTTTGTTAATATGGTCTAAAATTGTTTTCCTCATAAAAGTTGCATGCTTAAAAATCGATGTTTGTTTGATTGAAATCTATGTTTGACAACTTTAAACCTGAATTCAGTTTCTCAGTTCTCTGTTTCTGATTTTTATTCAGTTAAACCCGGTTTAACTATAAACATTTTTTGCTAGTGTTATTGGGGTATAAGACTTCAACAGGTATAATACTCGCACCGTTTGATGCATTATCATCTGAGCTCTGCAGTGTTAAATTGAGTTCAGAAAACTTGAGTACACGGCAAGTTCAGCCGTTGACTCCACTGATACACATTTATAAAGGTTTTTCCATCAACTCCTCATATCAATTGAAATCAATCTTACATCAGTTTCTGAAATAAATCCGATTTATTCAGATGTATTTAAAACTTTGTTCCTCGTCTGATTTTACCAATATCTGCTTTTAAAAGGATCTGTGACTTCCCCTCCAGAAAAAAGAAGTGTTCAACCGTCATTCTTTGCTGGTGGTAGTCCTCCAAAAGGGCTACCTGGTACTTCTCAAGGGATCGAAATCCAGCAGACGCTGCCTAATGATCCTCCAGACACTCCACCTTATTTTTTTTCTCTCTTTGATCCAAGCACCAATACACCGTTTTATTCAGCTTACAAAGTTACGCCTGTTCAGTCGAAGGACATTGGAAAGGAAGGAAGGCTGGGTGGAATAAGGTGGAGGGACCCTCCAGGTTTGGAGATAGTCATTAAACATTAATTGCAGATTCAGTCCATATAGTAAAACCTGTTAAGGCAAGGGACCTAAGGAAGGAAGAAAGGTTGGTGGAATAAAATAGAGAAATCCCCAGATTGCAGATCGCCATCGAACATCCACTAAATATTGAATGTGGAACAGCAGTACGTCATCATCGAACCAACTAACATATTCCACCCGGCCTTTCTTCCTTCCAAAAGTCCCTTGCCCGAATAGGTTTTATTATGTGGACTGAATCAATCTGCAATTAATGTCCAATGACTACCACAGATTATTCAAGATCGACCTTCACGTTGTCGTATGGGGACCTTATCGTGAGCGTACATGTCAGAATGTATTTTGATGCCCTTTTTTAAGCCTTATTTTTCAACAAATTACAAACAATATAGCAAGCTGAAAAGACTACATAATTTTATCACTCAAAGTCGAGTATTCCTTGATTCCAAATCATTTAAGTCAGTTTTCGATCAGTTTACGATCTGCTAAATGGGGGGGTAGAATTAAGTAGAAAGTAGAAAGTAGAAATAACGCATCACGAAAAATAGTGTAAACAACTTTAAGTTCCAAGCATCGCACAAAACAAAAAAAATTCACAGTTCAAGCGGTTTTAATTTCGCACTTTGACTAGTCATTAAAGTTACAAACACTTACCCCTTACCACGCACTAACCCTTCTCCCCTCCTCTCTAAACTAACACTCTTTGCAGAACTGGTATACACCCTCTGCTTTTCCAGCAGGTAAAGCTAAGCAATCAAGCACCAATGATATAACGAAAATGCTATGTAGCGCGAAAATAAGAACTATGCATTACCGAGTGGCTACCTATGTTTGGTCTGTGGGGCAAACAAGTGTGTGATCTCCAGTATATCTCCTGCTTGACGAAACACCAAACTAGAATACATATTCCCACGGTTATACAAGAGGAGCAGATGCTGGTTTAAAAGACCGGTGTACAATACACATCTTATCAGAATCTTTTTGTTTATCGTTCAAAATCATCTGTGTTCACAGGCGTTCCTGGTGTTAGCATTGCCTACAAAGAAGCAATCGCAGACACCACACAACCGAGAAGTCCAAACCAAGCATTAACCAAAGGTCATTTGAATCCCTCAGCGATAAATTCCTTTGACAAAAAATTCATGGCCGCCACCTATACTTTTACTAATGGCGTACCTCAGTTTGCAGCGTCGAACTTCTTTTTGACGAAGTTTGAGTCAAAAGTGGAAAATTATGCTAAGGACGATTGTGGCAAGAAAGATGGAACCCTCTACCTTTTGACTGGCAGATCAGAAAATGGCCTACTCATTGGTCCAGAGGAGAAACCTGTTCAGGATCTTACAAATCAAATTCCCAAGCCTTATCAGAGGGATGCGTTTGTGCAAGGTACAATAACGCTTGTAACTCCTCGTTCTATTTGGACAGCTGGTTGCTGTATGTGGCAGGTGCCGGGTGGGGCGAAAAGAGCAGAATCTTTTGCAGTGATGAGCAACAATCAAAACAAAAGATCGAGGGTTCTCCAAACAGAAATGAGCGTGCGCGGACTAGAGGAGCTCCTTAAGACACCGCCAACGGCCGAAGTTAATTTGTTCCCAGGGGAAGAGGAATGTCGACGACCTGAGAACAATAAACCACTTTAAAAGAATCAAAAGAAGGGATCATTGATGAGAACAGACTGTTAAGAATAAAGTAGATAAGTTACTACCCCTTACTACCCCTGATTAGTGTGATTAGTGAGAGACTCGTGATGAGTTGTCCTCCTATTTGGCATATACGTGTCTCCGCGATGCTTGAAAAAATAAACTCCCAATTATGTTTATGATTAATGGTCTTTCTTAAGGAATAGGTCATTGTTGCCTTGGCAATAAGACATCGAAATGATAACGAGAGATCATTAAAAGAACTTTGGAACCAAACTCCTTTTTATGTACAGACAGCTATTAATGGTGAATTCTAGAACAGCTGTGCCGGTCACCGCGTCCCGATTCACCTCAGTCCACTCTTATCCTTGTCAATCCGCCCTGATCAAATCCAGTCCACAGTATTCAGGACCAATCTTCCCCGATCCATCTTCATCCACCTATCTTCACCTCAGCCATGATGGAAATAGAGAAAGAATGCATGACAACTCAAATAAAGGGCTGCATAGCATGTTTGGCTGTAGCTCTCGCTAAAATTTGTTTGCTTGTCAAATTCAACACTCGTCCACAAGTTCTCATTGCATGGTACTTTCTCTTCACCTTCGACAGAACACTTCCTTGTTTTTCGTGCACGTCAGTTTTCTGTTCATTTTTTACATAAAAAAAGAGAAAAGAAAGTCTGTGGGATCCTCGAAATGATGCAACAATGTTCGAGCTTAAATCATATTTTAATTTCATTAATTCATCAATTTAGAGCAACGTGTTACAAAGCATTACGTTTAAATTTTTTTGAGATGAAACCTCAGCACTATGATAATTAAGAGAATCAGCTAAAATGACTGACACTTGGTCCCTTTGTCTATCTTTATTTGGTTTGAGACAATGTAAAAATTTCAGACGAAAACATACCGAGAACATGAAATTGAACCGTGCATGGAGACTGCTCACAGGTAATATAATTAAGCACTCAAAGCCAAACCGATCGATAGTGAATAATAAATTGATAAAAAACGTCTTGGCTCGCTCACTTCTCAGAGACAAATTTAAAAACCGTAGAAACAGTCTGTCGAACAAATTTTCTGACCAATGTTAAAAGGAACAACATATTCAAATTTTGCGATGGCAGGAGTCTTGTTAACGAATGTCGTTTGATTCTTCTTGCGATACTAATAAATTTTTACCACAAGCTGAGGTATCAACCGCTAGGAACGATGTTGAACATTTCCAGTGCGTTTTTTGCTCGCCAAGGACCACTATGAAAGGAAATAACACCAAGGTCCCTGTGCCATGTCTCTGAACTTTTTTGTGCTTTTCCATCAATTTTTGTAGGTTACTACTTTGAAAATGAAAGATTTGAGTTACATTGGATGATTTTGGATTTTCTTTTTTCATTTCATCGTCAGCTCCAAGAACTTTAATACCTTGAGTATTACCAAACGTTTCATCTTCAAGCGATCGCGAACTGTTTTTCTTCTTCTTCTTGAAAACTGGCAGGCATCGAATCATTGAAGACTTTTTGTTACGCGTTAGATGATAGGTGCTCTTGGTTTGCTGAATATAGTTACGTAAAGAACGTAACATAAGTAATCGATAAAGGCGAAAATGTTAACGTTGTTTTCAGCAACAGCGACGGTGCATCACTGGTGGTGTAGTTTTAACGGCTAACTATTCAGGAGCGACGGTCGCACTAAATGCAATTACCTCAATAGCAACATAACCATAGAAATGGTGACGTCGTCGACAGAGAGAAGAATAATCATAATCTCGGTGAAAGGTACAGTAAAGCTTAAGAGTTTATTACCCTACGTCAGTGACAATGACCTTGACGTAATTATTATAGATGTTAACTTAGTCTATGATTACAGTCATCCAAGGTCAGAACTTTTTTTAAATACCTTGAAGTTTCATTATTCTGATTTCGATATCTCATTGAAAACACTTCTCTGGACCAAAAGTCAGACAAATTCTTAACTACTTTAGTTCAACAATTGTAAGTACGGTTTGAAATGTAATTTTGTGCTGTTTGTTCGACTAGATGAAAAAATAATAAAGAAAAAATAGAAATGGTGACGTCGTCGACAGTGAGGAGAACAATCATAATGACGATGAAAGGTACAGTGAAGCTTAAGAGTTTATAACCCTACGTCAGTGACAATGACCTTGACGTAATTGTAATAGATGTTGACGTAGTCTATGATTACAGTAACAACGATAAAGAGCAATTGTAGTTAATTAGTGAGGATGACACATAACACGAATCATTTCTTATCCGTCATTGCTCAACGGCTCATCCAAGGTCAGAATATTTTTTTTATATCTCGGAGTTTCAATATTCTGACTTGCTCATTGGAACCACTTCTCAGGACCAAAAGCCATGCAAATTCCAAACTACTTTAATTCAACAGTTGTAAGTACAGTTTGTATTGTAATTTGTTGCTTTTTGTTCGAAATGAATAAATGATGAAGAAAACTCTAGAAAATACCGAACAGAGCCCAGTTTTTCATGGGCTCAAGTTTTCTTCCCAGAACCTAAGTCTTAACCGAACAAACACTTTTCATTACGCTGCTTCCCCTTTTTCTGTTTCATAATCGCGACTCGATAGTTCAAGTTGAAGCGTTTCCGCGAGCATTACCAAGTACCAAATGAAAAAAATGAAATAAAATTGAGAATTCCTGAGAAAAGTTCCTGAGAATTATCCTGAAAATAATTCTGAGAAAAATCGTCAGGCCTTACTATAACTTACAGTAACCCACTAATCTTTTGTCTTCCATAAAACATTATCCCAAGTCCTCGCATTCCACGATCATGCGAGGAATTGCCTTGTGCTCTTTGGACAATATGAACCAGTTTTGCTGCCGTTTTGGAGAGTATTGCATCATTGCTGTTTGGTATATTGTAAAAGACTAAGAAAAACAATGAAGTTAATAATGCAGTGAAAAACTTATTATGCCAGTCGCAGGAAATTTCGGCTGAAATTTTAGTCCTGAAAATACGCCCTTATTTAAAGACTCTGGTCATAGTTTTACCCTATACAGACCTCGCAGCCCGAAAATAACATATATTTACCAAAAACATATCGAATCATTCATTATGCAACAAGTTTAGGAATAGATTATTTGACTTTTTTGCTTCAACAAGTCCTTGTTTTAAGATCGCAGTAACTGTTTCAAAAAATCTCAGAGACTGCGAGTTATGATTACATGCGCCTCACAGTTCAGTTTTTACAACCATGCTCTCCCAATCTCTCCTGGTTAGCCCTCTCAGGTGAACTGCGATATAGATAAATGACTAGATGTAAACCTAATCTTAGCGTAAATACCTTGTAACCTCACAACCATTAAAGCTTTTAATTCTTATTGGTGGTTGAAGCTGATAACTTGCGTGTAAAAGCTATTTTTTAAACAATTTAAGTAATATTTTCGTACTCCTGGTCACTTTAAGCCCACTCGTAAGCTTAGCAAAGAGTTCGTCTTCAGTTATCGACAAATCTGGACTTGGCAAGTAACCGAGGATACTAGAAATCGGTAAGATGTGAGATTATGCAAACCATTATCAAAACAATCTTTATCTTGAAAAATTTTAACCAATTTACAGCCATGATTTAATTCCGCTTTTTACAGTATCAACATTCGATCCACGTACCATGATTAAACGTTGTAACTGGCGCAAAGGAAACTCATCATAGTCCTACTTGCGAAACACCAAGAGATCAAATCATCTTAGTGCAAAGTGGGTAATGAAACAAAAATGAATCATAAACTTATTGAAAAAACCTTCTGGGCAGTCAAATGAAATCAACGCTATGAATCAGCGTACATGTAGTACCTTTTTTAAGGAAGAATTTAACTCGGCCTATAGATCTATTTATCGTGCTAATGATGGATTCTTGGGCGTTTTTAGTAAATTCTAGTAAATTTCCAAGTTCTAGCGTTACTGATGCTAGAAGCTTGCCGTGCCAATAGACACACTCTGTTGTTTCTACGGTGGTTTAACCTACGTTGTTGGGGTTTTTGTTGAATTGAATTTAATGTCGTTGTTGAATTTAATGTTTCTGAAGAAGATGTTCGAGGGGAAGTAGTTTAACTCCTTTGGATGGAATCCGATAGAGCCATTAAAAAAAACACAATTCATTTCAATGGCGGATCAAGTGAAACTAAAACTAAGACTCAATAAGGCTTTATCAGCCATAAAATGGTTAGTTTCGATCTGCCATGAGAGGTACGTTGTTGTGTCCAGGTTCGTTGTTAACACGTCAGTTTGGCAAATAATTCAAGATTTATCGAATTCCCAAAAAAAACACAATTCATTTCAATGGCGGATCAAGTGAAACTAAAACTAAGGCTCAATAAGGCTTAATCAGCCATAAAATGGTTAGTTTCGATCTGCCATGAGAGGTACGTTGTTGTGTCCAGGTTCGTTGTTAACACGTCAGTTTGGCAAATAATTCAAGATTTATCGAATTCCCCTCGGTAAGCCCATCGTCACACATATTTCACAGCTAAGAAATCTTTTACAATTGAAAAATGAAACCATGAACATGGAACTGCAATAAGACTCTGAAAAATAGAGCATAATCCAATCTGTGTTTTTACAGTTTTATAGCGATGTTAATATCACAAAATTCTTGGGACGTGGCTGAGGACCGGTGATCAATTTTTGTTTACAATCACAGCACTGTACCAAAAAGAGGCGGATTAAAGATGAAACCGAGCTGAGTGCTGTTCATCTCCTCATTTTCCTTTTGCGGATGACCAGACTCTTGAATTATAAAAAAAACAAGGCAAACAAACCAAACAAAGCAAATTTGTGCTTGAGTCATGTAATAAATTTTCCTAATTCGTTATATTTCACACAATGGAAAGCCCTCCTTTCTTCTAAAGCAAAACGATTTTGTTCTTTGAAACTATGGGATGAATGCTTTACCTTTATGATTCAGCAAAACAAATTTTTCCAGAAAATTTTTTAATCCGACGACGCTGACACAAAATGTAATGAGAGATATCGTTAAAGATGATAATAAAATATTTTGTTTCAGTTAATAATGATTTACAGCGACCCTGAGAACAACCGATTACAAGTGACTGCAGTAAGACCTACAATCTAAATCTCGATTGATTGCATTGACAAGTGTTTTCAAAACCCATCAAATGTTTTAGCTCAACTCTTGTCAACTCGAACTGGACTCGATAGAGCAATGAAACATACTGTCAAAAATCCCACGTAAGATCTAGTGAACACTGTCGGAAAAAAGGCTCTCAAAAATAAGATTGACCTAGTATTTCAAGTCCAGAAAACTAAACTTATATTGACAAAAAAATTCCAAATTTATTCCAGGTAATTCTCCTTTATTTTCAGGATAGATAAAAGAATGACACGCTAAATTAGAAAATCGTTAAAGCCAAACTTACAAAATGTGTTTCCTCATTGTTGTAGAGAGTCAAATAAACCCTTGTTCGCGAGAAAAGTTTGCATCAAGGGAAGTCAAAACATGATTTACTGAAACTTTTCACGACACTTTAAGAAATAATCGACAGAGATTTCAAAGATAAATAAAAAAAAGACTTATAGTCCGAATATAGACTGATCATGGTAACAGGTTTTTTCGTAACCCGCCCAAATTCTTTGAAACTTTGTCATGAGATGACGCTTTTTAAGCTGTCAATAGGGTCCTTTCGACATTCTCGGACGCGTGTTCCTGAGAACTAGAAACCAACATGTGAACGAGGCTTAGAGGACAAAATGGATGCTAGCTCTGGTGCGGGCATCTTCAGCACTAAACTAGTTCCTTGGTTAAAAGAATATTTAAAACAAAGAGGCATTCAAAGCTCGGGAAAGCGCAAGAATGAACTAGTAGAACTTTGTGTAAAAAGTGAGGAGATAAAAGTCCCGAAAATCTCAGAAGAAGAAGAGCCAGTCGATCCAGCAATTTCAATGAAAGAGCAACTGAAAACTAACAATGAAGGGTACTTGGCCAATCCGTTGAACAAAGAAAATCAGGCTTTTGGTAAATGGACCCACAATTTTTCGGAAGTACCAGACTTTAGATTTCCTGATCTTTTTAATTATCTAGTGGGAAAGGATCCCGGGTATAACGCCGAAAGCCTAAAAAGTTACAAATCTCTTCTGGGATACAAGCTGTACTTCGATGGACACGTAGAAGACCTTTGTTACCATCCGCCACAATCTAGTGCCAGCAGTTACAGTTATTTTCTGTTTGCTGTAAAGCCAACTGAAAGGTCCAAGGCTGACGATGGGTCAGCAACATATAAGGGTTTTTTTATTTTAAAGAAGGATGGAATTGTGCATTCAGCCTACTGCCCATGCAAAGGAGGGTATGTATTTTCATTTACTCTTACTATAAGGTAATTAGCCTTAAGATGTACAATGAGCCAGAGTCATTTGAAATATATACGAGCTAAAAGTCTAAAATGAGAGATGTATGTTTACCTGTTATGATCAGCTGATGAATTGTTGGACTATTTTTAATGTTAATGTAAACAACATACAGATATGCTATATATGAAATACATTAATTAAAAAAAAACCCAGCTAACTAAATGAATAAATAAAAAATGAAACTTGTGTGATAATATATCACTACTAACTTTCAAAGAAAAAAATTAAGCTATTGGCTACATTTCAGTGTACCAAATGTTTCACTCTGCTATAAGATTAATATACAGAAAAAACAAGCAGATGACTGAAAATCACTTGCTTTTTTGATCATTTTATTTGTGTGAGGAAAATGTTTAATAAATATCAGTCATCTTGGTCTCTATTTGATAGGGCAGATGGAGGTTGTCGCCACATAGCTGCAGCACTGTTTGATCTGGAAGCAAGCGTACGATTCAATGATCTCCAGTCATGTACATCAAGACAATGCATGTGGAAAAAGAAAGGAAAGAGAAATGAGGGAAGTTTGCCTATTCAGGAGCTACAAACAAATAGTGGTGGCTATGGTGTGACAGTAAAAGACTCTGCAAAGCCAAGAGATTTTAATCCACTTTGTATTCCTTATGACCCAGCTGAATTAGAACAACAGTTCAAAGCTGGGTTGCTGGAAACATTCCCAGGTTCTTCAGCTCTCCCTTTCTTACATTCAGCTGAAGAACCAGGGCAAACAGAGGAAGAAATCAGGGCTTTGATAAGTGATGATTTAAATGTCAGTAAACAAGAAAGTGTTCAAAGTGTTGATGTTTATTCAATGAGTGATTACGCTAAAGTGTTTGTTTCTGTTAATATTGAAAAAGTGACACCTACAGTCTCTACAGAACTTGCAACTGAGTTCCTTGAGTTTATTTCATTTAATGAAGAGCAAGCAGAAATGATCAACAAAAAGACTGTCAATCAATCCCAGTCCCAATTTTGGTTTGATCAAAGGGCAGGAAGAATTACAGCTTCCTCATTTTACATCGTGTGCCACCTCAGAGAGAGCACAGACAAGAGAAACACTGTGAAGCATCTTATGAATTACTGTCCAATTGCTGAAGATGCAATGCCAAAACAGTTAACATGGGGTCATGAAAAGGAAAAGAAAGCACTTGATCTCTACATTAAAAAACAAAAGAGAAACCATGAGAAGTTGTCAATAAAAAACGGTGGACTAATAGTAAACACACTATGGCCCTTCTTGGGAGCCAGTCCTGATGGTGTCAGGATTTGTGAGTGCTGTCAGAAGAAGTTAATTGAAATTAAGAGCATGTATGCAAAAAGAAATCTCCCTCCACAGGTTGCAGCTGAGGAGAAGCTCGTGTTTGTTGGTGACAAATATATACTAAAAAAAGAAACAAAATGGAACTATCAAATTCAGGGTCTGATGGGAATAACAGGGATTCATTGCTGTGATCTAGTTATTTATACCTTAACATTGATTGTTAATGTCAAGTTTGACAGTGAGTTGTGGAACGAAATGCTTGAGAAGCTGAGAAACTTTTTCTTAAAGTACATAGTTCAGGAACTCTTTCACCATGACATACTTAAATCATTATAAGGGACTATCATTGGTGGTGAATGCTGATGCTCAATGCTGGATAATTCCTCAGTGGGTCTAAAGAAGATTTTTGATATGTGTTATTAACCATTAACATAAACTGACTGGTAATTGTTCAAAGTTACAAACTTATTGTGCTTCTCAGCTCACAAGGCAGCAGTAGTTATTTAGCCAGGGGTGGTAGCAAATTGCACAGAGCAGCACACACACTAAAAATGTTGTCAGCAATGGGCAGCATTGGAACAAGAAAGTTCCCTTGTAGAATTCTAAAGTCCTTAAGTCGTCCAATGGCACGTTCTACATGGATCTGAACACTGGCAATGGCACGGGTAGATTTTACTGCCTTCTTAGACAGTTGCTTTCCTGAGTAAAAAAAGATATTTCAAATTAAGTAAATGCCAACTTGAGAAGCTACTGATAGAGAAGTACTTGCTGTTTTTCAGTCAAAGCTGTTTATGTTAAATATCAAAGCACCTAGAAAAGAGATCACATATGATGGGAACTGCAGCCTTTATAAACATATTTGTGAGATTGAGTTAAAGTAATGGTTACATGTATCTTTTAGCTCGTATATAGTTCAAATGACTCTGGCTCATTGTACATCTTAAGGCTAATTACCTTATAGTAAGAGTAAATGAAAATACATACCCTCCTTTGCATGGGCAGTAGGCTGAATGCACGCTTCCATCCTTTAAAATAAAAAAACCCTTATATGTTGCTGACCCATCGTCAGCCTTGGACCTTTCAGTTGGCTTTACAGCAAACAGAAAATAACTGTAACCGCTGGCACTAGATTGTGGCGGATGGTAACAAAGGTCTTCTACGTGTCCATCGAAGTACAGCTTGTATCCCAGAAGAGATTTGTAACTTTTTAGGCTTTCGGCGTTATACCCGGGATCCTTTCCCACTAGATAATTAAAAAGATCAGGAAATCTAAAGTCTGGTACTTCCGAAAAATTGTGGGTCCATTTACCAAAAGCCTGATTTTCTTTGTTCAACGAATTGGCCGAGTACCCTTCATTGTTAGTTTTCAGTTGCTCTTTCATTGAAATTGCTGGATCGACTGGCTCTTCTTCTTCTGAGATTTTCGGGACTTTTATCCCCTCACTTTTTACACAAAGTTCTACTAGTTCATTCTTGCGCTTTCCCGAGCTTTGAATGCCGTTTTGTTTTAAATATTCTTTTAACCAAGGAACTGGTTTAGTGCTGAAGATGCCCGCACCAGAGCTGGCATCCATTTTGTCCTCTAAGCCTCGTTCACATGTTGGTTTCTAGTTCTCAGGAACACGCGTCCGAGAATGTCGAAAGGACCCTATTGTAATCTTAGCCGAATGAGCATTCAGTAATTTCCTCAAATAAAAGCTTTTAAGCAGGTGGTAAAATTTTGTATCTCTTTCAAATAATGCTAATTTCAAAGCTATGTGGTAAGAAGACTTTTATTGGACCATGATCTTAAAATGCATTATCAGCTTTTGAATCATAGATTGGAGGTATTAAGTTAAGTTCATCGTTGTGGTTGTATCCTTAGCATATCCGTAATAGGTAAGTGACCAGGATTTTATCTGAGATATTATTACGAAAACATCAACGCACTGATCTTTAAGGTGGATAATTTCTTCTTAATTATTCCAGCGGTATCTTTTAATTTTTTCCTTTTCTGAACGAAAATATCTCAATAAACTTCAGCTTCTGCTGCAACAGTTAAAATAGGTGATGCATTAGAAATCTTCAACCTGATCTGTGGTCACCTCTTACTAAATCGAATTTAGCGATGAAAATTCTGTTAAAAAACTGCGGTAACTGTAACCATTCAGTCGAGTTGTCAGGTGATGAAAAAAAGGTACTCGAGGTTGTAATTTATTTCCAATTTCAAGCAATTCTGACAAACGTTTTACACATTTCATGACAGAGCTATTACACATTTCAATCGCAGATGATTTCCAAGTGTCTTAATTAATTTTAATTCACTTTCAGGGGATTTCAAGCAATTCTGACAAACGTTTTGCACATTTCATGACAGAGCAGTTACAAATTTCAATCGTTGATGATTTCCAGGTGTCTTAATTAGTTGGACTTCACTTTCAGGGTTGGTAATGAAATGTATCAAACGATAAAACGGTAAATGCTAAAAACCGTAGTTGCACAAGATATTCAATATTTCAGAAATTCTAACAAATCCCAGTTTTGGGGAAAACTGCGGATCATTGGAAATCAAAACATGAGCTACTGAAACGTTCCACGCACTAAGGGTTCGAGGTTCGCAAAAACTCCCCTCAAACATCACGGTTACAAAAAAGTAGCATGGATTTTTCAAATTCACATTCATTGAGTAAATTCCTTTTGCCAACGAGATGGTGTGATTCTCAACCGTGTTTACAGCTCTACTAGTCAGATCTGATCTGTTAAAAAGCCATTCGTTTGAATTGAACAACGTAATATACGGCCAAAATTACCATGACGAGTAAACACTAAGGAATAAAAATACACTCAAAATAAACATTGAGTTGAAATTTTCCGCAAATTTAACTTAATTCATATTAAAAAATTAAAAGCAATACAAAACTACTGTAATCTCAGGCTATTTCCAAGTTACTTAACCTTTTCGCTCCCAAGATCTCATCAGTAATTCTCCTTACTATAAAATTCTGATGATGTTAGTTCGGAGAATTTGGTATTGGATCGACCATAATCCCCTAAATGATATTTTTCTTTATTCTCATTACTTGCCTGCTCGATATTGTATTGACATTGTAAGAAGAAATTCCATCTCGGTCACTCATAGGAGTTAAAGGGTTAAAGCAGTTCTCCATCATTTTCAGATGAACCCATTACATCTTAAGAATTGTATGTCAGACGGAAGAGAGAATTACTAATGAGGTCTTGGGAGTTGAAGGGTTAAGTAAATGAATGACACCGGAAATGGTAAATTGTAAAAGCCGCACTCACAAAAAATATTTTATGTTACAGAGTCGTATAAACCCTTGTTCGCGAGAAACGTTCGCATCAAGGGAAGTCATAACATGATTTACTTACACTTTCACGACATTCTAAGAATTCATCATAAGAGATTTCAAAAATGACGGTTAAAACCGAGGTAGGGTCTGAATCTCGCTTGATTATTGTGACAGGTGTTTCCGCAACTCGTCCAAATTCTTTGAAAGCTACGAGTTGTAAATCTAGCTGATTCATTTCACTAATTTTCTCAAATGAAAGCTTTTAAGCAGGTGGAAAACTTTGGGATTAATATTTGTTTCTGGGCAACCGAGCTCGATGTCGATTTGTCGTACTCGATTACCATTCCTGCTCGATAAGCAAACGACGTTTGATAATTGAGCTTGATAACTACAAGTCGAGCTCGATCGCTAATCGAGTACGAAAGACTGGTGGAGAGTCCAACCTTATGGAGTGCGATGGAGTGTGCAAAAAAACCTCGATACCGACGGCGAAATACTTCATAAGTTTTTTAGGAGATTCAGAGACAGGATTCATAGAGAGGATATGAAGTAAGTGGGGAGAATATTGAAAATAAATTTTCCCACGCTGCCGTTTTTGTTTAAGCGATTCTCTTCCCCTAAGATCAGGACACCCTTTTTTTCGCTCGTGTGCGTTCCGGCTTTCTCTACGACAACAGGCATTTAGATATTACTTTGAACTTTTACTGTAACTTTTTAGAGGGTAATTAAAGAAAGGAAAAGACACGCATATGAAGCGGTAAAAGAAAACTGAATATCGTCGCACCTTTTTTCTGACTAATAACAGCGTCATCTATCGACACAACAACATTCGTATCGCACTCTAGTTTTAAAATGTTTTTATTTTTCTCCCTAAGAAAGGATTACGACTGAATCACCAATATTTTGAACTTTTCAATCAAGTTTTATTTTTGAACACTGTGATTGTTGTGCGTTAAATACTTCCAAGATCAAGGCCCCGACCACACTTTCGCAGGTGCTTTGAAAAACGTTATTTTTCTCTCACAATCCAAAAAGAGCTTTGCCTCTATCTATGAAAATTAATAAACTGGTTTTTTTCTTTTTTTTTTTTTTGCATTATCATAATTGTCATCTACGGCAAAAAAAACGAAATGCAGCTAGATGATGTGTATAGTAAAGCCCTTATCATCCCGTCAAAAAAAGTGTTACAAGAAAAATCAACATCGGGGAATTCGAAAAGGTCGGTTTTCAAAATGAGTTAAAATTCAAGTTGAAATCGCATATTTTAAAAATACGTCGTTTCGTTAGAAAATCTTTCCGGACCAGTGCGGTCAGTAGACCTAACCTATGTAAAACCTATTCAACATAGTCATGGACAGAGCTTAATTGTTTATTTACCTGTCTCTCCCAAAACTGAAAGTAAAAACCTTAGCGTATTTACAAAACCGGATTATCAACTAGATATTGATTGGCTACAACGGCCAAAAAGTTCTGCATGGATTGCTGAGCGGTTCCCGCTCTCCACCGACGTCACATTTGCTCGTCGAGGTAGGACTGCAAGTCTTCCCTCCTTATCCTCCGGCGTGTTTTCTGGCCCAATTTTAAACTGTTCCAGCAGGACTCGATTTCTTGAGTGTCAACCCCATAGTGACTGGGTCAACGAAGTTGAGTCGGTGAACAATCATTTGATGTGCATTTATGTTGTTAATTCTTTGGTCCGTCTGCCGGTAGGAGGCCAAGTCATCCGAGAGAACACACCTTGAAATGATGGGATGGAGGGTGGCCATATCTCGTCTTTCCACTTCATCGAAGTAGCTTTTTGCAGGTAAATGTTGTGTCGTAACAATCCCAACAACCCATGTGTACCTTTGTGCACGTCTTCCCCAGTTGTTCTGAAATAATGAAAAAATATATATATTTCAGATGGATGATTTTTTAATATTTTGCTTTAGGCTTTATCCCAGCTATGTGTAATTATCATTCACCTGTATGAAATAATTTTTATATTAAAGCGCCCTGAGTGCTTTTTGTTGTCACATTCCCACCTACTTCGGCTTGCGAACCACATGTTCCAGAAAATCATGGAACAGTAAGGTTATGAAAATATTTATATTTCAAAAACATTGAAATGATTGGAGGAGAACATTTGCCTAGTATGTACTATATCAGTAATATAATATGGCACAAAAAGGTGATTTTTTTAAACTCATTTATTCCTGCTATAAATGGTTGCCATAATTTTTGTGTGCCAATAGTGGGCAAGTTGCTCGGAGGCGATTAGCAAAGGATGTTCAAAGTTTGAGTGCAGGCCGATCAGAGCGCTTCTACGACGCTATTAAACGTGTTAGTATATACTTGAAAAAATAGTGATTTTTAGCTTTGATTAGTGGTTTAATTTACTCTCGTCGCATCTTACACCAGTCCAAAGGGCGTGATTGGCCTGTCCTGAAGGTTTCTTGGGCAGCCATCCTGTAAGTGCCTACTAATTTTCTTATCAAGCTTGTATTTAAATCCAGGTATCTGGAAATTCGTCGCTGGGAGTCCTCAGAAGAAATAAACCTTCTGCAGGAGTTTACCAAGTGGCACTCTGGGGAACTCCCCGAAAAAACTGTTTGATCTCACACTTCTTTTTATGCATCCTCAGCAGCGCTGCGCAGCAGTTTAATCTCTTCAACAGGCCAAGGTGATTACCGAATTACTCCCATTTTAAGTGTGGGTTGGATTTTTATGGAGTTTAAACGATGACGCGTTAACTTAGTGCCGTTGCAATAGTGTTCGGCAACCGGCCTACCGGCGTTGATTGAGGTTGAACTTTCAAAAAGAAATAATAAATGAACAACAGTAATAAAAAGATGCACCAAATAGTGGAGGGTTCCAATGGGGTGATGGCTGGTAAGTTTAAAGGATAAAATTGTGGCCACTTTACGGCTAACGGTTAGGTTTTTTTTCCCTTACACTGGTTACCAAAAATATTTTTACTATTAACGTTTTTGACGACTACCGTTTAAAACTTTATCGTGAGGCCTTGCTCTAAAGCTGCATACTGACGTAAAGACTTATTATTTTCATCTCCTTGTTGGAGTCTAGTCAGCTAGCAATAGCGAGAAACGGGTCTAAATTTCGATGATTTTGTGAGTTTCTTATTTTGTAATTGACTACATCACACTTATGCGAAGTATCTTTTTTTTCACATGGTTGTTTAGAACAAATGAATAAAACCCCTTAGGGTGACCTCATCGTGAACAAAAGCAATTAAATCATTGCTAAGCGCAAGGTAAAACAGCCTATTGTTTAAACTTGCGACTTCCTCATCAGTGCCTTGTGTAAGGTAAGTGTGATTTTTTTTTCATCCTTTGTTATAATGGAGAAGTATGTTTGCCGTCGTCATAACAGACCAGAAACAAAGGGGGTAAGTTTCTAAAGAAACTCTGGTGCTGCGTCAGTGGGGGTAACAAGGTGATTTGGTAATATTAACTAAGTTGAAATTGTAAATTGGCCACCTAAAAAGTTCAAAAGCTGACGTTTCGAGCCTTGGCTCTTCATCAGACTAATGAAGGGCTAACGCTCGAAACGTCAGCTTTTGAACTCTTTACGGTGGCCAATTTATAATTTCAACTTAGTTGATATTACCAGAAACAGAACAGTTTGTAATTACATTTATAACGACGATTACTAACAATTTAGGTTTATTCATAAAAACATTGGGTTGTTATGTACTCCCATGTAGGATAGAAGATATATTTGTATCTGGTGTAAATATTATCTGCGTGTGCTAGGCTAGCTTTTTGTATTTCCAATGGTAGAAAATTTACCCGATCAAATCTGTTGAACTCACTGATCATTTTTTTTCTTAATTAATAACAAGTTGTGAGGAAACAAAGTCTTTGTTTATTGAGTAACAACAATTGGCGCTAACCGCACGGCTCCTAAAATATAACAACGCTCAATAAATTAAGGCATTTCTTGTAACATCTGTATGGATAAGGAACAACTCAACTGAAAGACCTAACTGGCAAATTAGCTACCGTAAAAAAATTGGCAGACCGTACATCTGACGGTAGGAAATTTACCAATTCAAATGGGTTGATCTCATCAACCTTCCTTCCTAATTAAAAAAGAGTTATGAAGAAGCAAAGTCTTTGTTTATTGGTTTACCGTAATAAGCACTTATCGTATGGCCCCCAAAATACAATAACGCGCAATAGATTGAGGCGGTTTTTTTTGTAACATCCGTTTACAGGATTTTTCAGCTATGATTCACTTACATAGGAAAGTAAACTGAGGTTAACGAATGTGTAGTTATATTCTCTCCAATGCTAGAGGCGACACGTGTTGGAATAAAGGAGAAACTACAACAATACGTCTTTCTTTGTGCTGCCCACTAGTGTTCGTTAAGAAAAAACTATTTTTAATTCATGTTATGCAGGGCAAGGTTTTTATTCGTTTTACTTTGTTTTTTTTTATGTTTTTTTTTTTGACAAATTCAAATTCGTGTCAGACTGGGTTGGTGCGAGGCTGCGTGTCGGCTTTTATTTGGTGTGGGATGCCTTTGATCTGTAACCAAACCGGTTAGACCGTCTGCGACAGTGGGACAAGGGTGTTCAGATAACGGGGAAAAATGCATTTATCAAATCATTTATTATCACGTGAAACACAGCGCAGCAAACGAACAAATCGAGCTTACTCATAATAAAGAGGGGGAAATTGACGAGTGCGTTTCCCATAATTCTTAAAAAAACATATTTGACTTAAAAAACCTAAACAATTTTGGTATTGTTTTCAGTATTTGTCCTCGTAGCTATCTTTCCTTCCATAACGTTATTATCTTTAACATTTTTCCTGTAAGTGTACTTCTGTTTCCCAGAGGTATTTTTCAAATGTAAATAACTAAACTAAACTGGAGGCTGACTGAAAACTCAAAAGTTAGTTAGCTTCCAGACTCTTTATTTTTTCAATTCCTCACTCGTTACTAACCCTAAAATACAACAACGCTTTGACATCACCGGCACGCTTCTATCTTAACAACTACGTGAAGAGATCTTTTCCAGTTAAGTAATGTTCCAGATAAGAGCTAAGAGAGGTATTACATACAGCAAAAAAAGCGGAAGATCTCAATGAAAAAGTACTGAAAATGTTTTCCATTCAAAAATACTTCTTAAATTTCATTGTTAGTTTGTTCTGTGCTTATCACATTGCCTTTTGTTCTATTGCATGAACGATTTCAATTTTTTGCGTTATCATTTGCGACCTCGATACCTCTCCTAGTTAATAAATGGAAAATTACTTGTCATTTAAAAGATAATATGTCAAGACAAACTTGACAATCATAATATCTTCTGGGTCCATGTGATCCAGTTCACGGGATATTTGCTGCTACTTCCCCCTCCTTTATCTCCTTCGCCGGGAAAGGGAAAACCTTCTCCTCGCAGGAATCAGGCATCAATACTATTCTGTAGACATAAAGCGTAAAGTCATTAATGATCTGTGGTGAATCATGATAAAGTTGATTTTCTTTTTAACAGTTTTTAGGTTCGGAGACATGGTTTTAGATTTCCTCACTCCTGTATGGAAAAATTACGATATTGATAGTCGTCGTAAAATACGCCAGCTAAATGCAAGTACTTTGGCTTATCAGCAGCGATCATTTATCCTCTGTACTGCGTTCCAGAGCGAGAATCTATCCTTAATTATAAAGATGAGTCCCTAACCTCGTTCCTACTACCACTGCCTTCACTGCGGACACCAGTTCCAAGGAAAGTCCTGCAAATCGTATATGCGCCCTCCACCTGTTCCCATTCGGGCACCTGTACTCAGTGCTGAATAGGTGTGACCACTTCACGTTATTCCATTTCTCTCCCCTCCAGCGGAAGGAGAACACTCCTCTTTCTTCCAAAATCCATCTCGGTTTGGCTCTCTGAAATGAAACCGAATGTTCAGTTCATGTTCATATGATATCTTTTCTCATTATTTTTATAACTCTAGCGACTCACCTTGAAATGCATCAGGCCCCGCAGACGCTGGACCTCTCCTTCCTGCAGAACACTGTGGGTGGCGGCTGCATTTGTCAAGTGCTGTGGCATGTTCTTCTGCTTTATTATGGCAGTGCAGCCAGTAACCGCACAGCGGACCGCTCTTTCTGAGCACTCGCTTAAATGCAGTGTTAAGTGGAGCCTGCAAAATAATCAAAATAAGGACCAGGGATAAGGTGGCTGGGGAAACTTTTGGATATTTTGTTGGCCTTAAATAACCATTTGACTGTTGATTTCTTAATTAAACCGACAATATCTTACCGTGGAAGGCTTGTTCCGCAGCTTAGTGGGCATAGTACTCTCTTATTTGAGCAAAGGGAAGCAGTATGCTCCTCGAAAGATTCCCTTGTTATTTTTTTACCGCATTGCTGACAAGGGAGTTTGTGCTTTGGACATTGCGTAGTGTGTGCTGCCATCCTCTCCCTTGCCACCATCTCTCCACAGCCATCATTGGCACACGCCGTTTGAAATTTTCCACACCTTTTCAAGTGCTGCTCGTGCTCGTGAAATTTTCCTTTCCATAGACAGCCGCTCTTATTACACTTGACATCAAAGTTTCCAGTAGGTGCCGTTATATGTAAATTTCGTGGTTTTGAGGCAAAAAGACAGCAGATGAATAATATCCTCCACAGGCAAAGGAGTTCTTTGTCCCAGGGAAGCATCTTCTCTGAGTCTCTCCTCCGCAACCTTAACGGCAAGATCAACTAGGATTTTAGTGAAGAGCGAAACAACGTCGAAAGATACTAATTCTTCACAAGCGTTAAGAGTTTTATCTCTTCTGAAATCCGCAAATTCGTAGGAATTTTTGACAGTGTAATCAGTATTCCCAACAACAGGCGACAACATTATCGCAAGATAACCAGAAATTGCATAAGTCGGAGAATTAACAAAAGAGACAATAGGTCTTAAAGGAATTCCCAGTTTATGAATTTTAGGTAGGTTACACGGACATGCGACAAGATATATGACAGGTATGCTTATTGTGTGTTTTTTTTTAGTGAATTAGTACAAAAGAGCCACCATATGGAGTACTCATAAACAAAGCAAACAAGCCTTGAGACACGATTCTCTTTGGGTTGCTTCATTTTTCTGCTTTTTCTGACTCGATTTTTGCTTAACCTGATTTTTATTTTTTTATCACAAGGAATTTTTCTGAAACATTCAAACAAGTGATGTAATTTGTTGAAGTTATATGGGTATAATGGACTTTTAGGACACATGATTTGTCTTGAAAACAGAAATAGTCTGAACTGAACGGTGCCAGTGAAAAACATAGAAAAAATCATGGTTTCTTTAATTTATCATAAAGCAAATTGAGATGCCTCGCCTTAACTGTGCTCTCTCCGAGATTAAAGTGGAAGCAAGCCCTCAAAAGTTATGAAACATGACGACGTTTCATTTTTTTACTTTCACTATTTTTTGTTCTTCATTGCAAAGTCTACTTTCATACTATGCGGGTTTCTCCATTTAATGTCTTACATCTTTCTTCGAGAACGCACCATTTTTTTTATGAACATATAAGGGACGTGTCTGAAACTTGACTTGTTTTGGAAACAAACACAATTTGAAATTGAGGGAGCTGGTGGATTCTTTTTCAAACACCAATTTCAGAAGCAGTGATCATGCCAGGTTCTGTTCTGAATAACAGAACGACGTCTTCTGTTTGCTACACTACACTCTGCCTCCTGCGTGCTCTAAAACAAAGCATTGCACAGTCTAGGTTTCTTAGATTGTGTGCAGTTCTCGGTGGTGAAGTAACTTTTTAATGACTATTCACACGCTCATGGAGGGTTTCTCCAATTATTAGCTTTGACTGGCCACCGCTTGACGTTTCCCAAATTTTTCACCTGGCTGGGTGTAACCTTGTAGGCCGAATAAAAGGGAGTGTTCATTTCAGGATCAAAGAGGGAAAAAAGATAAGTTTTTTGAAGATCGTTGGGTAACTTTTGTTGGATTGCCTTTCCTCTAGAGATATCAGGAAGGCCCGTCGGACCCTTATTGCCAACGAAAAATGATGGTGTTTTCAACATTCTTTTCCAAATCAAGGAAACCGACAGAGTTTTCCTTTCAGCTGGCGGTTTTTCTGAAAGCAATCGTATACAAGGTCGGATAGAAAACGGCGTACTATCATCAAAACTAGCTAATGTAAGTTGTTGTTCAGTGCGGTTTGATCCTACAGTTGTCAACCTGAAAAACGACATTAAAAAAATCACATCATTCGCGAAATGAACATGTAACCAACGACCGTAACTTTCATGACAGATCGAAAATCACCATTACATGGCTAATCAAAGCTATAAAAAAATTGTCGAGCATGATTGTTTATCACCAGCCTGATCTAAGCACTAATAGGAAAGTGTACGGGTCATGCTTGTTACTGGACATCTTTTCACCGGTTGTAAAACTAATTTAGAAACCTATCATGGATCAAACCTTTTTTCCATCATCGATTCTTTGATAGATGGCTCCTGGTGCAGGTTTACGTACCATCGTTTTAACATGGTGTCATGGGAATGCCCAATTTCTTTAGACCATGTTGTGATCATATTTTGACATAAAAAGTTTCCATCACAACACGACAGTCTATCAGAAACACCCTTAATTTTAGCTTTAGGTGCCTGTAACTCAAGAAAGAGTTCGGTGATCTCCCTTTATTATAGATAGCAACCAGCATACCAAGATACATCTACTTGTCGCCATCGTTAATTGCCATAAATTACTACAATTTGTTTATTTATGATTTTATTAGCCGTTTCGATTATTATATTACGCCTGCGTATTACTTTTTGACAGGAGCTCAGGTTTTGCGTTGTGTTTTCCCCTCCCTCATTTATATCATAAGCTAGTCACGCAATAGTTGATACCGACACAAGTGAATATTTACCATTTATAAATATTTTTGTTTACGTTGAGTTGAAAATATTAAATTATGTGCTTTCTTCACTAATAGTTGTTTCAGCGGTAGCGAAGCAGTTAAAAGCGGGTTGTTGCTTAAACGCTACTGAAATTTTTAGTATTCAGACAGGCGAGCAAAGCGTGATGCTCTGGGAATAAAAACTTTTAGGGGCCTTTTACATGACATCCGAATGAGTTTTGTACAAGAACGAGTTCATACCGGTTGCCACATAATAACCAGCGTAAAATTTATTCGAAATGAGTCATTTCTGAGGGAGTTTATTGGGGTTTTCATTACAGAACGAAACACTCCTTCTGGACGACCTTTTCTACCAGTACCTGTTCTACCTAATTGTTGCCACTCCCACACGGATAAGACTTCAGCACCTTTTATAATTTTATAGCGGTCGTTTTCGAAATTCCTGACGCGCACCCCCGCCCTCTTATATAAAGGGGTTCCCCGGGGGTGCTAATACGTGCAGCATACTTGACATTTAGCAAGGACAAATTCTGATGTGATTTTGGCGAAGAGAAACATGTTTTGTCAGCGTCTAGTCGCTAGTGCGGAAGGGCCCTTTACCACCGTGTACATAATTACGCGTCTCCCCAGACGGTGGAAAGCCAACAAAGTGTTCTGACATTACTTCAGAAAACTCCGCCTCTGTCTGAATTTTTGGTAAAACTGTCTTTGTTTTGATGCTACTTTTCGACATAGGAAAAGTATGTCGGACAAAAATATTCACCAAAAAATAAATATTTCTTTGGCAGCTTCAATAACGACAGAGGATTAAGTTTAGATGATAAAACAAAGGATTATGTTCGCAGAAATACCGTAAGTCTCGTACATTCGATACATGAGGTCACACAACTCGGGTAATATTCACGGTGAAGATTTGCATATTTGAGCGGTCGAACGAAAAAAATTATTTCTCGAAACTAAAATATATTTTTACAAAAAAACTACACCACAATTATAGAACATATCGGGCTACAAAATATAAAAGTAGGAGGGAAAACAAATTTGGGTGACTTGCCGCTGTTTGTTTGATTCATGTTGACATTAGCTCTTAAGATCGAGCCGATTCATTTGCTGTTTTCCGTTTTTACGAGCTTTTTGTAAAGAAGAATTCGCTTTGTTTTACACGGAGAGCCAAAATGCAGTTTTTAACTCAAAGGTGGCAAGCTGCTACCAATAAATCGCCGGATTGTAAAGACTTCAATCATTACGACACAAAGACTGAAGACGTGATGGGTAGCCTGTTTTTTAAGTTGTAAAAATCGGTGAGAATCGCAGAATTTCGTTTGCGGAATTGATGTGCTCACATTAACTAAACTTGAACGACGTACGCTGCTACCCTCCTGTAACCGAGTTTCGTGGGACACATTTTGCACTGTCCCTCCGAATTTGGTGAAATGTTTTAGCAGATCATGTTTTGATTTCTTACTATCTGTATTTCTCAGAAAACTGAGGTTTATTAGAATTTTTGTAACATGAAACATCTTTTGTAACAACGGTCTTATACCATCTATCGATTTATCGTTTCCTACACTCCTGAACCCTAAAAATAGAGTAGAATTACATCATTCTGTAATTGAAAAGACTTGGAAATCATCGGTTTACTGAAATGTAGAACTGCTCTGTCACTGTGCAAGAAGGTTTTAAAACTTCAAATATATTTTTATTTAAAACTATCAACTGGACTGATTGGTTACCGTTATTTCAATATTTGGCAGATAGTTAGCTACTAGCAGAATTAAGACGGAATTTAGCATCAAGGTCAGTCCTTCAATGTTGAATGTCGTGATAATTAGTCAGATTTTATTCCTGGTCCCCTAACAATTAAAAATGTGCCAAGGATAAGCCACAATGATGAGCTAAACTTGCTAGCTCCCAACTGTGGTTCAAAAGCTGATACTGCGTTTTAAGACTATGGTCCATTAAAAGGTATTCTTGAAAGAGATACAAAATTTTTCCACCTGATTAAAGCTTTTATTTGAGAAAATTAATGAAATGAATCAGCTAGATTTACAACTCATGGCTTAAAAAAAAACGTCACCCCATTACAACTTTTCAAAGAATTTGGACGGGTTGCGGAAACATCAGTTACGATAATCAAGCAAGATTCAGAATATAACTTGCTTTTAACCCTCATTTTTTAAATCTCCTTTGATGAATTCTTAGAATGTCATGGAAGTGTAAGCAAATTATGTCATGGCTTCCCTTGATGCGAACGTTTCCCGTGAACAAGGGTTTATACGACTCTAACATAAAACATTTTTTGTGAGTGCAGCTTTTACAATTTACCATTTCCGGTGTCATTCATTTACTTAACCCTTCAACTCCCAGGACCTCATTAGTAATTCTCTCTTAAGATGTAATGGGTTCATCTGAAAATGATGGAGAACTGCTTTAACCCTTTAATTCCTATGAGTGACCGAGATGAAATTTCTTCTTACAATGTCAATACAATATCAAGCAGGCAAGTAATGAGAATAAAGAAAAATATCATTTAGGGGATTATGGTCGATCCAATACCAAATTATCTGAACTAACATCAGCAGAATTTTATAGTAAGGAGAATTACTGATGAGATCTTGGGAGAGAAAAGGTTCAGTAACTTGGAAATAGCCTGAGGTCACAGTTTTGTATTGTTTTTAATTTTTTTAATATGAATGAAGTTGAATTTGCGGAACATTTCCACTCAGTGTTTATTTTGAGTGTGTTTTTATTCCTCAGTGTTCACTCGTCATTGTAATTTTGGCCTTGTATTACGTTGCTCAATTCAAACTGATGGCTTTTTTAACAGATCAGATCTAACTAGTAGAGCTGTAAAAACGGTTGAGAATCACACCATCTCGTTGGGAAAAGGAATTTTCTCAATCAGTGTGAATTTGAAAAATATTTTTCATACTTAGGGCCTGTTTACATGGAGGTGGGGGACCCCAGGTAGTAACCCGCCTGTCCATCTAATTTCTTATCTTATTTTGATCACGTCTTCATGATAACTGGGGTGACCCGCCTAGGTTGGTTGCCCGGTCTGCCAGGTAGGGTAACACTGTCAGCCGGGGTGACAATTTGCTATGTAAACGTGTCAAGGTGGGGTAACCCGCCTAGCCGGGGTCGCGTTCATGGAAAAAAGCTCAAAAGCGAAACATGTATGTTTTAAAACTTTGTACATTTCCTAGGCGTCTCATCGACCAAATTTGGTTTCCCAAACAATTCCGTATAACGTATTAAGTCAACGGTTTCTCGCGAGACCAAACACCGCGTAACACAACGCGTGACGCTTTCATAAATAAATACACAAGTGTCCGAGAATTAATCTTTCGTCTTTTTCGAGATGTGAGCTTGGGACGCCTTTGCTCAAACTCCTTAATTGCAAGCGCAACAACAACCTCAATAAACCTCACCCCTGCACCCCGGGGTAGTAAGATTGCATATAAAAGCGTTTTATTTTTCGACCACGGCCAGGCGGGTTACCTCACCTACCTGGGGTCTCCCACCTCCATGTAAACAGGCCCTTAATATAACTCATTATAATAATTATTGCGTAAAACGTGAAACTTCAAACATCCTGTAGACCACAAACGTCTTTTTCTTTTATCTATTTATTGCTTTTATTCAAACAACCTTAATTGCATTAAAAATGTTTGCGTGCGCCGTACAATGTTACGTAACGTAGCAAGTATTTAACGTGTTTTCATGGTAGTTGTTAGTTTTGCTTAGTAAGTTCACTTGCACTTATATCTCATATCATATTTCTTCGTATCGCACTATGTGCAGTCTTTTCGCCGTTCGGCAGCAAGTCAGCATTATTATTTCAGCATCGCAACAAATTGGTGAGTCTTGGTATCTTTGTTTTGTCATTTTCGTTGTAATTTCCTTGGTGTATTTAGTTTTAGCGTATTTAGTTTAATTTTTAATAGGTTTTCGTTCGTCATTTTGTTTACAAGTTTAACCGGCTCTACCAACTAGTACTTGAGTTATTGCAACATAATACATCATTAAGGCCGCGTTAAATTAAATACTGTCTATTTATTGCTGAAGGCGCCCATGGCAGTCACACATGCTCTGCTTCAAATGAAACTTAACAAGCACGATTTAAGCATTTTTACATAAGCGTTTCCTTTAAGCTGGATTATTAAAGAATTAAGGGTAATCAGCTTTACAAGGTACAAGTTTTACAACTGTTGGATGGATAAAGGAGGTTGGCCGCCTACTTCTCGGAGGAGATTCAGCTCACGTTCCAATCCTTGCCAGAAAATTGGAAGGGCCCTCTGTTCGGTGATGTCTTTAATTTCATTAACAAACTTTTCCGTTGAGCTCTCATCATCACGCCTGTTTTCTTGAAAGAAATCTTTCTCGAACACGTTGCCTTCTGGATTTTGCACTTTTATCCTTGCCAACTCAGGATACAGCACACTGCATGGAAGCATGGCTAATGCGAGGTGTTCAGGACTAACGTTACTTAGGAAATCCATGTACGCTTTGAGTGCTGTACCCACCTGGCCTTTCCCTGATAGATCTTTTTTCTGGATGAATTGCTTGTGAAGATCGAAAAATTTTGCGGACTGTTTCCAATAAAAATAAGCAT